AAGCAACTTCGAGCGTCGTTTGAAATCATGTGGGTCCAACCCCTCGGTCTGTTGACCGTATCTCTTCTCGCCTTCGCGGGAGAAAGTGGTTAGTTCCCAACCTGTTTTTGTATCTATTTGTGTTTTGTGTAGACACTGTGTAGCTAATGAGCGAAGTCCTGTTGTGATTGCTTTTATGGTGTAAAGCATATTCTGGATGGTAAGATTAACCACAAAGTGTCATGAGTATTACGCAAGTTAGCTTTTGTAGAAGTCGTGTCGATCTATCAGTGTATTTGTAGTAACTTTAGAAACCCCTTAAATACTCGAGTTTAGCAATACACTCCAGCATGAAATATAATTGATTTAAAAGCAGTCCTAGGATATTTTATTACGCGAAGTGCAGATAGAGAAACGGTAGTGTTAAAATGTGTCGTATTGGTGGCCTTATAAAGGCAAAAATGTATTCACTGCATATGTAAACAAACTTATACAATAGAATCTAAAACTGTATGCAAAAATGTCTTATGCCATGTTGGCAGCAAATGTTTATTTGTAGCAAGATGGATCAGGAGAGATCTATTCAATGCCATTTTTACTTATTGTATATCCTTTAATCATTTTAATAATGTTAGTTAATAAAAGCAGTGAATAAGGCTTAAGAGCTATACATTACAGTAGTAACTCCTTAAGCCGCCCAACTCTTTTTTACATTTACATCTTTGTCAGGTGTTTCTGTTACGGTTTCAGCTGCGTGTAGCATATTAAAATATAATGTGTCTCACACCATAGTGGCCCAACTAGAGTTCAGGACCGTAAGTCATAAAAGATTAAAGCCAAAAATCCTTTCAAACATTTCGGGTCACACATCAGTACCTCTGTAAAAAATTCGGCTATGTTAATTCAAAAGATACCAGATAAATAGATATATTTAGTTTCGTCTTTCTTTTCACTAGAACTTTATGAAAATCTACTATTCCCTGGTTTTCCAATTCACCACCTATATAGGCACCTTAAGCAGGTTTTTATCCATGGTTCATCCTTAGAAAAGTATAAAAGACCTAGAATATTGCTATTTCTTCACATGGTGTTTAAAATGCTGACTAAATGTGGATGTAGTTGAAATGCTTCCGCCAATGACAAGATATGCTGTTTTTTTTTCTCGTCTGATTTCCAAAGGGAATTAATATTTCTGAACTTATACTCATCATCTTATTTTTAGGAATGTACAGAATGATAAATAAAAACCCTTCGGCCTTTAGAATATTTTGTACCACACAGCATGTTCCTTTGTAATTAGTCCGTCCACATTACCGCACAGTATGCAGTGATAGCTAATCTAAGCGAACATGCGAGTCCCAGAAAGTAATTCAGAAGGAGAAACTTCGATTGAATCTTCTTCTTCTCGCTAAATAGGTAGTTGTAAAGTAGATAAAATTTCGTTTATTGTACCAGCAATGAAATGACAATGTCTGGTTTCCCGAATTTACAATTCCTAACCTATTTAGGCAGCTTAAATAACCTTTGCATGTGGCTCGGCTGTTGACACGCACTAGGTAGGCGTTTCCATAGAGAGCCAACCCATTGCCTTTGAAGACCTGACTACGCTTGCGTCATCATCCTCCCAAATCCAGGTTCCTCCAAAATTCCAGTTTCTCGTCTACGTAGGCATAAAAATATTAAGCATACGGGTGTCGGCTCAGTTAATTCCAGTTCAATATTGTGCGGAATTTCAGAGACATTTCGGTTTCAACTTTATTCACCATTTGCAAGAAGAGCAAATAATCAAGGTCATCAGTATAATTCCCAATATGGTTGGTACTCAGATTAATCCAGTCTGTTGTAGGAGGCAAAATTCCAGGTGAACAAACCGTTATTTGCATTGAGTTAGTAGTATGTCTCTAGTCATAACGGCGTCTAAATCGGTGCGCTTAAGTGATTACTGGTCGAAGGTTAACAAGGGAGGATTTAAGTGTCTCTTAAAAGTTCTGACAGTAGCAGAGTGCCTGATATGCTTCAACCAAGCATTCCGGTGAGTAAGGAATCGTTGTGAGAAAACTTAGGGTCGCTGGTACTGTCTAGAATCGACTTTATGAAAGGAAGAGAGGTACGCTTTATTATGAGAATATCATGTCAAAATGTACAGCAAAAACGTTCCATGAATCAAATTGGGCACATAAACATCGGGAGATCACAAACATTGCATAATGGTCAAACACCGTCATCGCCAACCTCCTAACGTTATAAAAAAATGTCCAAGTGCAGCCATATAGTTATCCCCTGCTAAAGCATGTTGGGCTGAACCGAGCTGACAGCGAAAATTGTCAAGCTATAATACTTTTCAATACTCCTCAATCAGCTTAGAGCAAATAAATATCAGGCTAACCGGCTGGTAGTTAGTGTGATATAGTGGTGATCGTCCCCTATACTTGCTCACTTCCATTTATGAGGAAGGTTAACAGCCTGCACTTATTTCCGAAGAACGATGCACAATGGTTCTGAAAATTCGTCAGCTGAATGGTCTAGGAGTACATTCGAAATTTTATTATTTTCAGATGCCTTGACAGGACTCAAATTCCTCACATCTGTCATACGTAGTAATATTGTATATAATGCTGTCGCAGAGAGATATGAGCACTCTCCCCATACCTACGGATAACAATGAGATTAACATTTATTTATTTTATGTTGGCCTTGATCATGCAGGGGGTTTGTGTTTGACTCCCCAATCTCACAGGCATATTTAATGCAAAACGAACGTGCTACTCACTTTTTTGCAGTAATATTTATTTAAATATGGCGCCGCTTTTAGCAGCGTCTTCAAAGGCAACGCCTATTACTCTTAAATATACTGAACTATAAGCGGTTCGTTGATGAATATTAACAGGGGACGGGCTGGAGCAAGAAGCACCTGCTTTGAGACATGGCAAATATAGGAGAATAAATCAGCTTTTTGAAAGCCATCGATAACAACTGGTTATGTTATGGCTATTCGAAAAAGGCTACCGCAGACAGTTACTCCCATATTGTGGGTACTATAGTTACGAGAAATATCAGCCGGTAAGTGCATACTGTGCGTCGAGTTTACATATAAATGGATTCTGACAGATGGAGTGAACAACATTAGTTGGCAAAGAGTTCCACGCTGCAAACACTTTCTTATCGAAACAAACTTGAATCGATTGATCTTTTCTTTACCTGTGCACAGTTTTAGGTGATTAACGCGCAGCTAACGTGCTAGTCTGAACAAATGATGACTGCAAACGAAGCACCTCTCCTATCCATTCATAAGGCGACAGCGTAATATATGAACTCATTGCTGTGATCTGTAGGATAGGGTAAATAGTTTGCTGGTTGATAGTCCTGTAGTATTACCCGTCTTTGGACATTCTCTAAGACGGTACATTCTTTGGCAATCAGCATTCCCTATACCTGGCATCACAGAGTCGAATGGCCAATGATAATATTGAGAAGAGGTAGACGGGATAGCTGAGATTGCTGATAGCTAGCCTGACTTTTCGGACTACCTCTCGAACTTGTTATCAGAGACAATAGCAGTAGGAGTAGCAGAAACGAGTAGTTTACACATGATGAGTTGTTGCTATATCGAATTCAGTTCAGTTCGGCTCACATTTATTAGGCGAAAGATAGGCGAACATCTCTAAGCTCCCTATTGGTTATCGTAACTTGGCAAATCAAAAAAGGAGGATACTATAAACGCTGGAAAGAAAGCTGGCTATAGAATTGAATGCAACAGGCATGTAACTGTACGCTAACCACTAATAATTGAACGTTACTGAAATAGAGCAAGTAGCGTCGAAATAAACATTTATAAATCAGACAGAGTGCACTAGATCACACGTCCCTTACATGAGATTTCACGGAAACCAATTACAAAATAATGTTATTGAAGCATAGGGAGCATTAAGTATTGGAAGATTATTTTTCAGGGAATACGCCATAAGGGTAAATGTGTTAGTAATCGGTGACATCTTGGTATGTATGGCTGCAATTACCCGAATAAGTAATACGATTTTCATCAACTTGAAAGTCAGGACGAAATAGTTTGCGAGCTGCTCTTAAAAAACGGCACCTGTCGGCCACTATTAAAAATCTGACGGTTTTTTTTTCTTTATCTGTAGATTTGGCAATTTCAAAACAACTTGTCGCTGAGGGTCTGGATTCTTCCTCTCTCCGTGTGGCCTGGGAGCCACAAAGTTCTTCACCGGAATGGGGACACCAGTACCTGTATCGCCTTTACAAGCGCGTCTTTGAGAACAACTTAAAGATGGTCAACAGCACAGGAAAGCTGGAACCGTCTTCGATCTACAATTTCACTGTCAATGCCTTCGATGCGAGTGGTCGACCTGTACAAGCCGCGGCATTCACTGCCTCGGGGACGACCGCCAATGGTAATTTGCCACTTACCATTTACCATCATTATAAAAGAATAAGACTCCAAAGAACGAAGGGGTCCCATTATAAACACTTACTACTGATATATAGTAAGTAGCACGGGAATGCTCGAACTTACCCGCGCTGATGCAAATGATCTACTTTACTCGCACCTCAGGCAGTGTTGTCCGAGACGCAGCATCATTAATCGGCATTCCGCTACGTATAAAATCTTCCTCACATAGGGCCAGCAGTCAAGCATGTGAGCACATTCACTATGTACCTTGGCATATTCTCCAGCAGATATCAATCCAATTATTATCATAGCTATATTTACGGCAGTTAACCTGCCCATAACGTTAAACAAATAGATATTCTGTAGCAAGAGCCGTCTCTACTATCGGAGATTAGAAAGGTCTCATCACTTAATACGAAAACAACCTAGAACTCGGAGACGGCAGTACAACACAGACACACATTGTGTGCCGAAAAGGACACCTTGAGCTATAAAATATACTGCACAAGTTTGCGTAACTCTTATTGTCTACAGCCAATGTCACTTGATAATTTTTCGTGCTTTTAATGATATTTCCGTTTCGGTTCCCTTTTAGTTTAAAAATTATCTGAAACGGAGCAATATTTATCGCTGAGTGTGGTCTACAGTGTTTTACCTTCTGAAACCTGTGAGCTAGGAGATGCACATAAATACGCTCCCCATACTGCCTCCAATCTTAGCAAATTATATGAGCTGCTTGCATTTTGCAGCATATAAATATTATAGGCCTTTCCAATAAGGGGATCCGGTTATTGACCTATGCTTTCTTTAGATCACAAAAGATTCGTCCAGTTTGCTGAATAAACGCTAAAGATATAACACACTGTTCAATCATTGTATCCTATGCCACACAATACCTCGCCACAGTAGCACGACCATAAAGTCATCAGCGAAACATCCACGCACATGCTTAGTTTGCTTAATTTCCAGATGAGTTTGTGGGATACGAAGTATTCCGACCGGATGATGGAATATATAACGTACGCCAATAGTTATAAGCTATTAGATAAGATAAGGCGTGGAAGGTCAGAGTATTATGAATAACTTAATCAAGTATAGGAGGAATGGAATAGGAATAAGGGGTAAGTGATTCCCAGGCGAGTACACTCCAGACATAAACGGGCCGAATCCAGAGTCACATTGCCGGGCCCGGATGTCTGCAACCAGCAGTGAGGTCGCCGGATCCGGGAGTGTCTGAGCGTAAGCAGTCATCACCCTAGGCTCCTTTGTGAACTGGTCTTGGGAAGTGGTTGGTCAGTTAGACAGACGCGTCCGTGACCCTGGTCAGAGGTAGACACGAGACCCAAACACGCGGGACATGCCCCAGACGAGTGCGAGCAAAGCGTGGCTTAGAATACGAGGCCACTACAAATTAATGAACAGACGTGGAGCAAAGCATTCCGAATGAAAAGTTTCGCGCTCCAGGCAATGCTGTCTCGGACTTAGCTCCCTGTATTCGACTTCCTAGTGACTGCTTTAGTTTCCACACACTCACACAAGCAGCAGTTAAATACCTTTGAGCATTGACGATATCCTCTGGCATATTCGTCAACAGATCTCGTTTAGATTATAAACACAAGTATAGTTGCGGCATTATGAAGAAGAAGAAGAAGAAGAAGAAGAAGAAGAAAATTCATACGATATGAGAGCATGTTATAAGAAGCTTCACTCGTCTCCTAAATTAGAAATTCTTGCAGATTTGATGCGTAAACGCTACTGAAATCAGGAAAGGCAGAACAACATAGGTGTATAGTACAGACTGAAATGAGCATCTTGTCTTGAAAAAGAACTCGGACTGCAATGCCTTGCTCATAGTTTCTATAACCAATCAGTGAGCAGATGCCTAATTTTCGAGCACGTAAATACATCCAGGAAGTTGCGCTGGTTTTATCCGATCGCCGTATGCCCCATTTGTGGTCAGTGCGAAGCTGAAACAAGCCATCTTCCGTTTTGCTCTCTGGT